AGAGGAATCCAAGGACGCTTTCACCCCGAAAGCCACCGAGAGTCACTATTCGTATAACTGCGAGAATGTCACGATTGTATTTCCTGGGCTCGCAGATGGTACCTTCACTTTCAGGGTGGCGGTAGAGGGTGGGAAAAATATGTGAGGTTGTCAGGATTCGGAGCTGAGTAATTTTCTTGGCTGGAATGTAACGGAGGGGAGGAAGGAAGTTCTCCATATTTATATTCACTCAGCTGAAACTCTGTTATCAGCCCTTTTCGAAAAACCCTGCCAGAGGCCCATGTGCTGACCCGGGAGGGAGGGAGGGAGGGAGGGTCCTTCGGCTGGACGTGTCTGTGCCACGTCAGCAGGGCCGCCAGACTTCCACCCTGGTCTGTCCTGGCAAAGAGTCTCAGTTGACTGGTGTCTGGGAGAGTTCACGGTCTCTTTTCAGGAATATAAACTGACTTCCTTTTTACCACTATCTTGAGTCACAGGCTGGTCATAGCATCTTTTCTTTACTTTGGCAAAGAGGCACTGTTTAGAATGGGCCCCCATCCATCATTCACACTTACATGCACAATCGGAAACATCTTGAAGTACATTTGCATAGGTGCAAAAAGCCTGGAAATACACCAGGATTTCTAAATTACGTTTGAAATATTTATCAAAATAGTAAATCAGTATCCATCATTCTGCTTGTTGCCTTTGGGATGCTCCAGAAGCCATCTCCATCTGAGAAAACTGGATTTCGAGTCATGTTTAGAAAGGCGTCTGTCTGTCCACCACCTCCAGGTTTTAAAGGAATTCACCTATGTTTTCTTTGAGTATTTATATGCTTTCCTTTTTCATATTTAGATCTCTGATCCATCGGAAGATTATTGTGGTATTTAACGAAAGGTGTAAATCAATGTCATCTTCTTCTAAATGTCTATCCAGTTGGGCCCTAACCCTTTATTAAAACATTCACCTTTTCTCCCGCTGATTTGAGATACCACCATGATCCTAAACCAGATTTTCAGTCTTCCTCACTATTTTTCCATACGAACTGTAGAATCAACTTGCCTAAAACTCCAGAAAAGCATTTTAAATTGGGACCATGTTAAATTTATATGTTAACCTAAGGGATATTGGGCATCTTTATAATGTCGAATCTTTCCCGAGAACATGGAATGCCTTTCCATTTGAAAAGTCTACTTCTCAGCAATTTTAAAGGTTTTTCCCTTATAGGCTTTGCACATCTGTTCAATTTATTATTAGATATTATATCTATTATTATACTATACTATTATACTATACTATTATACTATTATAAATGAGTTCTTCACTTCCATTATCTCTTTCGAGAATTGTTTACATATAAGAAGGATATTGATTTACATATTAATTTTATATTCTTTTATTAAATTTTATTAATGTAGTCATTAGGTTTTAAAGTTGGTACTCGGATTTCCAAAAGAATTTATCTTCTACAAATAGAGGTATCAATACTCTTTTCCTTTGTTGTTTTATTCCAAATGGTTTTCTCTGGTTTGTTACAATGTTAGATAGTAGTGATGTAGTGGGCTTGTGTGTAGTGTTTCCTGATGTCAGCTTTCGGATTTTTGAAAGTTAAGGAAATAACCATCAATCCCTATTTTATTTAGTGTTTTTAATCAGGAATGGGTGTTATATTTTGCGAACTATTTTTGTTTCAGTGTTTAGGGAAACAATCATATGATTTTTCTCCTCAGATCTATTAATATTGTGAATTATCATCGATTTCCTAATAACAAACCATCCTCGCATATCCATAATAAACTCCACATGGTCACAATGTATTTTTTAAATATGTTGCTGGATTCAGTTTGCTAATATTGACATCGTTTTTGCTTTCATATTCATATGCCAATAAGCATTTTTAATTCCTGCTCATGTGCCAGCTGCAGTTTTATGGCACAGATAAAAAAAAAAGACTAAAATTCTTGCTCTGGAGTCACTCCCAGTCTAGGATTAGAGACAGACAAGGAAGGAAGGAGTTAGAGTGAGGGACCACAGGCTGTGCGGACTGCGAGAGCACGGAGGGGTGAGGCTCAGGCGGGCTTTGCAAAGGCGAGCAGGAGGTCAGCATCTGAACAAGGCGAAACATTGACATTCCAGGTCAAGCGAATGGCAGGCACAAGGTTCAAAGAGGTTATGCACCCTCAGTGCACCTGAGGAACTGCAGTGGCTCTTGTCACCATAGCACAGGGTGTGCATGGGTGAGTGACAGGCTGGAAAGGGGGCGGGGAGAGGATAAAGGGCCTTGCAGGCTGAAGAGTCTGAATATTAACCCATAGGCCATGGGCAGCCATTCAAGGGCTTTGAGGAAGGGCATGAAGTGACAGGATATTCATTTCGGAGAGATCGCTCTGGTAGAGAGAAGATGGATTGGAAGACCGGTGTCATGGGGTCCAGGTGAGAAGCGGCCCTGGCATGAGTGGAAGATGATGCAGACCTGAACAGCAGCAATGGGAATGAGGAGGCAGCTTGGACCCGACAGATCGTGCACATAGAAGACCTGTAACGGGCGGGAGCGGGAGGAGGAAGCTGAGGCATTCTCTCGGAGTTCCGGCTGGGGCAAGGGTGTGGACAGTGCTGCCGGTAGCTGAGACGGACGATACAGGCCGAGAGGGGTTCGTCATCGTGGGTCCGATTTTGGAGAATGGTTGGTTGTGTGTAATGAAATTGGTTTGGGCTCGGTAGAGCCTGAGCTGGAATGTTCCAGAGGGTCCAGTTGGGGCCCTAGAGTGGCGTCAGAGCTGGGACGTGGATCTGGGAGGTGTCGGTGTGGGCAAGGCGGTGGAATCCACAGATGGCGTGAGCTGTCCAGGGAGCATGTGTTGTAGAGTGAGACAATGGACGGCTGAGCCTGGAGTCGGGGGACCCATTGACATTGAAGGGACAAGCAGCTCCAGGAGCCAGGAAGATAGATCAAGGAGGAGATGCCAGAAAAGGGGGAGGAACACAGGAGAAGTGGTGTCATGTAGACCGAGGGAGGCCGGAGCTTCAGAGGGTGGGGGCGATGAAAGGCCAGGTACCTTGGAGAGATCAAGGAGGTAAGGCTTGAGCTTCCCATTGAATCAGCGAAGAGGAAGTCTTTGGGGAGCTTTGTTAGAAGAGATTCTACGCCCTGGAGACAGACAGTGACAATGTCTCCAGGGGTGAACGCAGAGGCAGCATTTGAGTTGCTGAGGACACCGGAAGGTTAAGAGAGATCCGTTTTTTCAGGATCTTATGACCTTAGAAATTAAGATCTGGGGTCAAAAACTTGGTGCTTTTGCATCAAGGCTGCATCACAAAGTGGGACCTTGGGCAAGTTCCTTAGCCTTTCTGAACCTGGTTACTCTCATCTATACAATGGGGGCAGTGATAGGACCCCACCGGGATTGTTGTGAAGATCAAGCAACATCGTGAGATCATAGTCCAACCATCATTTTCTGTTTTTTTCCCAAGGAAGCTGAGTTTTATGAAAGACTTCTTTCTGTCTCTTTCTTTCTGTCTCCCCTTCCTTCTTCCCTCTCTCTCTCTCTCCTTCCCTCCTTCCTTCCTTCCTTTTTTCCTTTCTCTCCCCTCCCTCCCTCTCTCCCTTTTCTGTCCCTTCCCTTCCCATTTGCCTCTGGTCTAACATTAAAATGGAAAAGCAGCAGTCAGAGAAAATAGAATATGGCGCCATCCACCTCATCCACCTCATCCACCATTTCTTCACCTGCAAGTGAATAAACCATCTCATAGTTAAATTTATTCATTTGCAGAGTGGCTCCACAGAAAATGTAGGAGAGCTCCTTTGTTGCAAATAGAGACTCCTGCTGCTTTCAGTTGAGATGCGGTGAGTATGGACTGAGATCCTCTGTCGCAGAAAGGAATCCCCTGTTGAAGCCCCGCCCCTGTCCGGCCCGGCAGGAGGCATTGCAGACGGCCCTGGGCATTTGGGCTCCTGCGAATGAAGGAGAGCAGATACCCCCAGGGACTGACTGCACAGGCGACGTGCAGAGCCCAGCAGCACCGGGAATTTGGGCTTATCTGCCTTCTGGTCCATGTTATCTTTCTCAGACAGTTTTCTCTGCAGTTATACTTTGCTGATCCTATCGCATCGATTCTGACCGGACCCCATGGAGAAGTCTGGAAATAAAGACACGTTTCCCCCACCAATAAGTATTTCCCGCACAAATCTCAGCTCCCAGAGAGGGAGCTGACCTGGGCAGAGAGGATTCTTGTCAACTTGGATTTAGAAAGAGTCGATATTCTCATGCTGCTACGGAGGTGAATATTTCAGAAGGCTCTGGGGTGGAGTGAGTTCTTTCGATAAGCAGAACTGTATCTAAACATGTCTTCAATGTTAGAGACCAGGCGAAAGCTGAGGGTCTTTTTAAATTAATCTTTTCTGCTCAATGGAGTTTAAGCTCAATATTGCTGCCAGCTACAAAACGTTCTTGGAAAAAAAATCTTAGTTCATCATACAGCACAGTTTTAGAATCTCTGGTAGTTCTTACACACAAAAATAGCTTTATTTTTAAGCACAAACTGCAAATAATAAGTTAAAGTCCACTTTGCCACCCCAGGGGTGACCAATGTAAACTTTTAATCATCCTTTGTCTAATCCGAGTGATGTCCGAGATTTGTAATGGCTGATGCAGGATTTTTTTTTCTAAGATAACAGGAACTCATAGAGCTCGAGCTTTTTCTGTGGCGTAATTCTTTCTTTGGCTAGTTAGCAGTGATGAGTGGCTACGCTTTCCCATGAGATACCGCCGTCTTATTTAGAGCAGTTGCTTGCTTCAGAGTCATCGTCACGATTTCCCTGTGCCCGCTCTTTCTAACCGGTGGTTTCATGCAGCTGTCGGAGGCGTCTTAACTGATCAGAAACCAGCGCCACCAAGAGCTGGTGAGCTCCCTAACCGAATGGTTATTTGGAAAATCAGCAGTTGAATTCAAGCAAACAATTCAGTTATCGTTTAAGAAAAATCATCGGATGCCTGGTTCAGTCATGTGTCTTTTCGTAGAGGGTTGTCCTGGTCCTGAGCATGGCAGCTGAAGAAGTGGCCTCGAGAGTCTTCTCTGTGGTCCCACGGCGTGGACTAAAGGATCGCTTTTTCTCTGCCAAGCCAGGCGATGGGGCCTGAAGGATAGGTGGGAGGATAGAAAGGAGAAGAATAAAAGAGAGAGGAGGAGGAGAAAGGATGAAAGAAGAGAAAGAAACGGAAAATAAAGGGTTGGTTGGTGGGTGGGCGTTGGAGGTTGTGCACAATGCCAGCTGTTTAGGTAAAAAATGACTGTCCTTAGATAAGGAGACAGGTACAGTCATGCCTCTAGCACTGATGAGCACTGTGCTCCTGGGCAAGTCACCTCTGTGCCTTGTGTGTTAGATCTCTTTTATAAACCGAGAGGATGCGAGTTAGTGGTCTCTAAACTCCTTCCAAGCCTGCGAGTCTCTGTGAAGCTGGAGAGAATCCCCCAAACTTTGTGGAGCCCAGTCCTTGTCTCAAATCCCAGAGGGACATGCTCGACAGAGTTCTTGATGGATTTCTGGCTGAACCAAGAGCCTGAAGCTGTCCCGTTAGCTGCCACCTGTGCGGGACCCGCACCTCAGCCAGCCAAGGCGTGTCCCTTCAGACGTTTGCCCATCCGAGCGAAGGTACTGGTAGCACTGTCATTGCCGATGATTCTGCTTTTGGAACTTGGATCATAAATTAACTGACAAGATTCTTCCTGTTACTTAATAAAGCTGTTTACTGTCTTCTGTGTTTGTGGGCAGAAATAAACTTGGACAAACAAAAGGACAATTGATTTTAGAAGAACAGTTTGGTAAAGAACGTTTGGGAAAAGCATGGCCTTACTTATAAGACTGTTTATCGGTTTATGTTTATAAAAACCTGCCATCCCGATTAGGATTTAGAAATAATTTGTGAGGATTTCATCCAAGGTAGCAATATAGGAACACCAGAACGCCAAACGTTTTATTCCTCGTTCTTAAAAAAAAAAAAATTCATCTAAATTTTTTTCCAAAACTTTCTTAGCCTCCTTAGATTTCTCCTCTTTTCTCTGCTCCTTCAAACATCTAGATAATTGTTTAGATCTCTATTTATATATCCCAGGCCCATGGCTCGAGTGTAATAACCCTGCCGTTTTTGGTAACTATCAGCAAAGCGGACAGCAGGTAGCTGACTGCCAAGTCTATAAGTATAGTCATCTAAATTTTTTCCCAAAACTCTCTTAGCCTCCTTAGATTTCTCCTCTTTTCTCTGCTCCTTCAAACATCTAGATAATTGTTTAGATCTCTATTTATATATCCCAGGCCCATGGCTCGAGTGTAATAACCCTGCCGTTTTTGGTAACTATCAGCAAAGCGGACAGCAGGTAGCTGACTGCCAAGTCTATAAGTATAGATTTTATTTTTCTTTATTAACACTAGCCCAGGAGGCGCCTTTCCTGGGAAATGTTTCCCTAACTCTTATTTTGGCTCTAATAACTTATATTTGTATTTTAGTCTAAACACAACGTGGGGAGCACGGATATTAAAAGCTGAACTTCATTTGGCCTTTACCAGCCCAGAGCTCAGTAGGACGGCTGAGAACAGGCAGAGAGCAG